ACATCGATGTTTCTCTCTCTCTCTTCCTCCCTCTTTCCCTCCCACTCTGTCTGAAGATAAATGCAAAAATGTCCTCAGGTGAGAATTAAAAAAATAAAATTTTACACTTTACCTTTTCTCCTTGAACTCATATTTCCATTCCATTTCTCTTATAGACTTTTATCATAACATAATATACTTTTATTCTTGAAGGCCTTTTATTGATAACATTTTATCTTTCTGCTATCAAAATATGTATATAAATTGAAATTTATATATTTTTATATTCTCTGTGACCAGAAGAACTAAATGTTATTTTTTACTTCATCTGGATTGAGTTATCATTACAGTCATCATTGGCACATTATTAATCAAAGAAACTTAAATATATTATAAAAATTGATAAAAAGTAAAATTTAATTAGAGATGCACCTTTTCATATGTGTAATACATATGAATGGATATGCATATATAACTCTTCTCTAACAGTGAGAAACGTGCACCCCACCACCCGCAATGTATTGAACTATTGGTTCTACACCTATGGATCTTTGTTCTAATTTAAACCCCTCAGGGCATGAATATGGTTGATGTCACTTGGGTTGTTTTTCCATCTCTGGGAATAGTTGTATGACTAGGTAGTTCCACCACAATCACAATGGATGAAGTTCCTTAAAGGTTAAAAACAGGGAGAGTATAGCATTTCTACCAGAAAATAAGAGAGGAAGTATATTTGGGGTAGAAATGTCCACTGAAATTTTCAACCATGAACCAAAATATGTATCTGGTTTATATTCTTACATAAAAGTCAGCTTATTAGTTTAAAATTTTAAACTAATTTAGTTCCTCTCCCCTCCCCCCTCTGTCCTTTTCTTCTCCTGCTTTCTCATGTTTCTTTCTCTTTTTCTTTTATATCCAGCCATATTGTCCAGTCTTTCTTAAGAGGACTCTGAATTATCCTTATGAATTTTTTAAAAAGTCAGTGTTGCAATATTTCTATAATTTTAATTAAAATAGAACTATAATAGTTTATAGCTTAAAATTTTTTCATACATACTGACATTTGCTATACAGTGCACACATGAATGCTATTCTCTTTGTGAAGCATATTACTTGGAGAAGCAGCTCAGTCACCAAGCAGTCCCTGTAATTTGTAGCATCTACACTAGTGGCCCATTAATGTTTAGGGTGAAAGAAATGCTCATGGGAACCATGGGAGTTTAAAAAAGGAAAGGTGGTCCAAGGAAACAGTGGGATCCAGTATGTAAAAACACTGGTTTCCTTTTAATGTACCCTATGGTCACATACTTTTTACCTTGATGCCATTTTCAAAATTTTGTTGTGTTTTTTGTCCTATTAATTACCATTTTAGTAATTCCAGAGGCTCATTAATTGACTTCCACATGGAATCTTTGCACTGATCTTTTATTTTTAATATTTATCAATAATAACCAATTTCAGACACAACTGATGTTACATTCCTTGTTTCAAGGCTCATATTTATACTCATTGTTTGTTTTCTCTGTCCATGAGATATTAATATGCATGGCGTGTCTCTTCTGAGTGGTGGCCAGATTTCCCTCAGGCTGTACTTTTAACTACCAGTGGCAAGCCTGTCTGGATTTGCAGTCACATGGGAACTTGGGCATGCCTCAGTGTCAGCTGCTCTAGAAGACGCCTGTCCTTGGTGGTCAGCTGTCCCTCACATTGTGCATCAGCCTCAGGTCTCCTCGACAGAACATGCCTCTCCTGAGTGTCCACAAGTAGCTATCCTTCCATATGGCCTTTGGACTCACTTTGAATTCTCATTTTTGATCTTAGGTTTTTGATGATGTGGAACTAAGATTTGCTCATTTTTGAGCTTGCCTTCTGTCTGACATAATTTCTCATGACTATAGGCAAAACGATATTGAAATTAATCATATCATAAAATTAATGAACATTTGGAGTCCTCATCATTTAAAACAGAAAGTACTGTTTTCAAAATACAAACAATATAACTAATTGCAATCTTTAAAATTATGTTCCCTCAACCCCTATATATAATTGGTGTAATCATATATCATATATAATCTATATTTTAAATCAGACCACTCCAAACATACTCTCAAAATTTGGGGGAAAAAAACTATCTTTTTTTTTTTTTATAGGATATGATTTAAAAGAGTTAAAAAGGCAGAATCTTTATAGAAACTAACATCTCACTGATGACACACAAGACACAACTTCCAGGTTCTTGCTGAACCCCATGAATTTTATATACACTGGAACTGATAGGGTATTGCTGGATATTTCCTTGGTAAAGTCAGCCTCTCTCCCCAACTTTCTATTACCCAATATTCCCAGAGGATCCCAGGGTAGCTAAAACTTTTAGACTGTAACTGTTAATATGGTTATAGTGACAAAGGAGTACTTGGAAAGGAGAGATTATTAAAAACAATTCTATACAATTTGAATGAACATATATACTTATGGAAAGGTTTGTTTATATTTCTGACTGTGTTTACATATACTTAAAACCATGAACTCTGATTTTGCTAAAACAAGATTAATCAATGCTTAATTACTACAAAAAGTGAGGTGTCCCAAGGGAATTGCTTGAATTTTCTGTATTTTTGCCAATTTGTTGAGATCTTGTAAAAGCAATAATTCTTTTAAAGGATGTTTTGTTCTTTTCCCTCATCTTGGTGAGATCCTGCACTAATGTCAGTTTAAAAAAAAAAAAAAAAAGGCAAACATGACATGTAACTTTGTCTCCAGATCACTGGTTGCCACAGTGCCATATCCATGTACGGTAATTGATTGAAGAGTTGTTATTGTAGGATAATTGGGTTGATATGTTTAACTCATCAAAATTTGAAATAAAGTTGTTTCTCATTAGCCCTTTATTCTTACTTTTAAAAAATTGTATAAAATAGGGCCATTTGGATCCAGGTGGCAAATGATGATAATTTTTTCCATTATATTAAGGTTAAACATTCTCTTTTATCCCCTGAGGTTTCAAAGATGTGTTTTTATTTCTAATATTTTACATATAACTTCCATTGAAATAGAATATGCCTTCATTGGGTTCTTTCTTCATTTTTCTATTTGTTGTTTTCTCTTTTTTGGAGGGTGCCAATTTAGCCCCAGGTCTACAATTGTCTCTCATTTCCATGTCTTCTCTTCATATACTTTAATCTCTTATTCTTCCACCCCCACCCTGCACCAGTCACAGCACCTGGATCATTGCTGATGCTTTCAAGGCCTTCACTTTGGCATTCATAAAATTTATAGCAATCTATTTTCTTTCTTTTGTATTACTATTTTAGTTCTGACTGGAGACATTAGGGTCCTTATTTTTTTATTTATTTAGCTCTGGAGTGCCTTTTTGCATCAATGTTATTTCATCATCTCATATTTGATTTCTTGCTTTAGAGATAACATTCTCTTTGGGAGGTATTAATTGTAGGTAATTTTCCTGCTTTCTTTTTTTTTTTTTTTTTATCCTCACCTGAGGACATTTTTTTCCATTTTTTTGTTCAGATAGAGTGGGAGGGGGGGGAGAGAGAGAGAGAGAGAGAGAGAGAGAGAGAGAGAGAGAGAAACATCGATGTGAAAGGGACACATCGAGTGGTTGCCACCCGCACGACCAACCAGGGCCGGGGACAAACTGCAACCGAGGTACGTGCCCTTAGCGGGAACCGAACCTGGGTCTCTCTGGACTGCAGGCCGATGCTCTAACCACTGAGCCAAATTGGCCAGGGCCCTGCTTTCTTAATTTAATTATTTTGAATAAATTATCTGATAATGTTTTCTTATTTTGTTCCTCTCTTTATTTTTTGTTTTAGAATTTTTACTCTTGCCATACTATCCTTTTAAATCTCATACACATTTCCCCAAAACAATTCACTGTATATTTTTTCAAGGTGTAATTGTTTAAATAAAGAAATAAGAGGGTTTAAATTTCAAATATTTTTATAAGTTCACTTGCTCACATATTATAAAATAAAGAAGACATTTCAAAGGTGAAATAATAGATTCAAAGTAAGTGAAATGTATTATTTTTATTAACTTTAGCATTCATTTTTCTCAATCTTCATTTGTCTTTCTAGGTCTTTTGCACAAAATTCCCTGCTGGTACAGTACGTAATAGCCCTGAGCAGCAAAGACTCTAGACTCCTATTAGGTCAACTACAATATCTAGTGACCAATGGTGGCCCCTAAAAGTCTAGGTATGCTAATGCATTTGTGATGACTTTTAGTCTCCTTAGAAAGTAAAGTCTTAATATTTATGTGTTCTCAAAGTCATTGACTTTGCCCTCAGCTTTTGAGACATGAGCATAAACATGTTTGAAATTTTTTCAAAGCTTTAACTTAAATATAAGTACATGAATAACACTGGTGTATTTGGGGAAGTGAGAGATTATTTAAAGCAATTCTATACATTTTGAATGAACATATATACATACATAAAGGTTTGTTTATATTTGTGAGTGTGTGTAGATATGCATAAAACATGAACTCGGATTTTGCTAAGACAATGCTTGTCATATTAGTTGGTACAAAATAGTATTAAATGATCTCTCCCATTTATTATTATAGGGTGTAGTAGAAAAAATAGCATTTTGAGGCTCTGAAATAAATAACTAAAAATAACTAAATAAATTTATAATTTTATAAATTGATTTTTTAATTTTGTGATAATTGTGAATTCACAGAGTTATAAGAAATAATATAGAGAGAATCCCTGTATCCTTTACCCAGTTTCTTTCAGTGATATACCCCAAACTGTATTACAATAGTACATCTAAGATACTGACATTGATACAGTCAAGACAGAAAAATTTCATCACCACAGGGATTTTCATGTTACCTTTTCATAGACTCACCCACATCCCTCTCACCCCTAACCTCTATAAATTCTGGACAGGCATTAATCTATTGTTCATTTCTATAATTTTCTTCTTCCACAAATATTTAATGGAATCACATAATACATAATCTCTCTCTCTCTCTCTCTCTCTCTCTCTCTCTCTCTCTCTCGTAGGAGAAATATACTTTTACTCAAACTCTACTGTGAGGTTGGCAGCCCTGAGAAATTCTTTTTTAAAAATTAATTTATCAGGGTCCCAATGGTTAATAAGATTATATAGGTTTCAAGTGTACATTTAGATGATACATGATCTGTATATTGCATTGTGTGCTCACCACCCAAAGTCAAATCATCCATCACTATACATTCCTCCCCCCTTATCCTTTATTACCACCCTCCTCCCTTCCCTCTGGTAACCAGGATACTGATGTCTATGTCTATGAGTTTCAGTTTTATATCCCACATATGAGTGAAATCATATGGTTCTTAGCCCTTTCTGACTGACTTATTTCACTTAGCATAATATTCTCAAGGTCCTTCCATGTTGTCACAAATGGCAGTATTGCATCTTCTTTATGACTGAGTAGTAGTCCATAGCATGTATGTACCACATCTTCTTTACCCATCCCTCTATCAAGGTCACTTTGGTTGTCCCCGTGTCTTGGCCACCATGAATAATGTTGCAATGAACATGGGGGTACATACACCTTTGTGAATAAATGTTTTTGAGCTTTTCAGGTAGATACTCAGAAGAGGGAGTATCTACTCAGAAGAGGGAGTATCTACCTGAAATGCTGGGTAATGTGGTAATGCTAGTCTTAATTTTTTGAGAAATGGCCATACTGCTTTCCACAGTGGCTGTGAATGAGGGTTTCTTTTCTTCACAACCTCTCTAACACTTGTTATTACCTGTCTTGTTGACAATAGTCACTCTAACAGGTATGAGGTGACATCTCATTGGAGTTTTGATTTGCATTTCCTTAATTGCTAGTGAAGTTGGGTATCTTTTTATATATCTGTTAGTATTTGTATGTCTTCTTGTGAGAAGTATCTGTTCAGGTCCTCTGTTCATTTGTAATTGTATAGTTTATTTGTTTGATGTTGAATTGTATGAGTTCTTTACATATTTTGGATATTAATCCCTTGTAAGGGTTGTTTGCAAATATCATGTTCCTTTTGGTTGACTGTATTTTGTTTTGTTGGCAGTTTCTTTTGCTATGTAGAAGCTTTTTAGTTTGATATAGTCCCATTCATTTATTTTTGCCTTTACTCTCCTTGCTTTTGTGTTCAAATTCATAAAGTGTTCTCTATAACTAAGGTCCACAAGTTTAGAACCTATGTCTTCTTCTATGTAATTTATTGTTTCAGACCTTATATTTAGGTTTTTAATCTATTTTAATTAATTTATATACATGGGGACAAACTGCAATCTTTTGTGTTCTTTTTCATGTGGCTTTCCAATTTTTTCAGCACTCTTTATTGAAGAGGCTTTCTTTTCTCTGTTGTATGTTTTTGGCTTCTTCGTCAAAAATTATTTGCCCATATACATGTGCTTTTATTTCTGGGCTCTCAATTCTGTTTCATTGGTCTGTGTGTCTGTTTTTTGTTTTGTTTTGTTTTTGCCAGTACCATGCTGTTTTCATTATAGTAGCTCTGTAGTATAATTTTAAATCAGATAGTGTGATATCTCCAGCTTCATTCTTTTTTTCTCAGGATTGCTTTGGCTATTTGGAGTCTTTGGTGGTTCCATACAAATTTGAAGATTTTTTTTGTTTTTGTTTTATTTCTTTAAAAAATGACACTGGGATTTTGATGGAAATTGCATTAAATCTGTGTATTGCTTTGGGTAATATGGAAATTTTAACTATGTTGATTCTTCCAATCAATGAACATGGAATATTTCTCCTATTCATTGTATGTCTTTTAATCTATTTTAATAATGTTCTGTAGTTTTCAGTATATTGGTCCTTCACATCCTTTGTTAAATTTATTCCTAGGTATTTTATTCTTTTGGTTGTAATTGCAAAAAAGAGTTGTTTTTTCTGAAGTTTCATTGTTAGTATATAGGAAAGCAGTAAATTTTTGTACATTGATTTTGTATCCTACATTTTAGTGTATTTGTTTATTGTTTCTAGTAGTTTTTTGGTGGAGTCTTTAGGGTTTTTAAATATATTTTTAATGATTTTTTTATAGAGTGAGGAAGGGAGAGAGAGATAAAAAACTTTGATGTGAGAGAGAAACATCAATTGGCTGCCTCCTGCATGCCCCATATTGGGGATCAAGCCCGCAACCTGGGCATGTACCCTGCCTGGGAATCCAACCTGGACCTCTCAGTCCATGGGACGATGTTCAATCCACTGAGGCTCACTGGCCGGGCTCTTTAGGTTTTTTACATACAGAATAATGTAATTTGCAAAAAGCCACACTTTTACTTCTTCATTCCCAATTTGGATGCCTGCCCCCCACCCCCTCGCCTAATTGCTCTGGCTAGGACTTTCAGAACTATGTTGAATAAGAGTGGTAAGAGTGGGCATTTCTCTCTTGCTCCTGATTTTAGAGAAAAAGCTTTCAGTTTTTTAACATTGAGTCTGATATTGGCTGAAGGTTCGTCATATATGGCCTTTATTGTGTTGAGGTACTTTCCTTCTATACCCATCTTATTGAGTGTTTTCATCATAAGTGGGTATATCTTATCAAATGCTTTTTCTGCATCTATTGATAAGATCATATAAATTTTATTTCTTCATGTTTGTTACATTGTTTGATTTATATATGTTAAACCAGACTTGTGCCCCTTTAATGAAATCCAATTGATCATGATGTGTTATTTATTTATTTATTTATTTATTTATTTATTTATTTATTTTTATCCCCACCTAAGGATATTTTTCCATTTATCTTCAGATAGAGAGGGAAGGAGGAAGGGAGGGAGGGAGGGAGGGAGAGAAAAGAGAGAGAGAGAGAGAGAGAGAGAGAGAGAGAGAGAGAGAGAAACATCAACTGGCTGCCTCCTGCAGGACCCCTTAGCCAGAATCAAACCCACAACTCTGGTCCACAGGCCGACACTACCCACTGAGCCAAACTGGCCAGGGCCATGATGTGTTATTTTTCTAATGTATTGTTGTATTTGATTTGCTAGTATTTTGTTTAGGATTTTTGCATCTGTGTTCATCAGAGGTATTGGTCTGCAGTTTTCTTTTCTTTTTTTTTTTTAATTTTTTTAATTCATTAATTTATTTTTGTTACAGATGTTTCTCCTTTTTCTCTGCAGACACCTTTTCTTTTTTTTTGCATTATCCTTGCCAGGTTTTGGTATCAGGGTTATGTTGGCCTCATAAAATGTGTTAGGAAGTATTGCCTCTTCAATTTTTTGGAAGAGTTTGAGAAGGATAGGCATCAAATCTTCTTTGAATGCTTGGTAGAATTCAATAGTGAAGCCATCTGATCCTGCTGGTCTTTTATTTGGGGGGAGGTTTTGGATGATAGTTTCAATTTCCTCACTGTTTATAGATCTATTTAGATTTTCCAGTTCCTCATGATTCAGTCTAGGGAAGTTATTTATTTCTAGGGGCATATTCATTTCTTCTAGGTTATTGAATTTGATGGCATATAATCTTTCACAGTATTTGAGTATGATCCTTTGTACATCTATGATGTCTGGATTAACTTCTGCTCCTTCTATTCTGATTTTGTTTATAAGTCTTTTCTCTTTTTTTCTTAGTGAGTCTAGCCAGGGGTTTATCAATTTTATTAATCTTTTCAAAGAACTAGCTCTTTGTTGTATTGTTTTTTTTGTATAGTATTTTTGTTCTCTATTTTATTCAGCTCTGCTCTTATTTTTATTGTTTCATTTCTTCTGCTGACTTTGGGTTGCTTTTTTTTTCTTTTCTTTTTCTAGTTCTTTAAGATATAACGTTAGGTTGTTTACTTGGGATTTCTCTTGTTTCTACAGATATGCTTCTAATGATATAGACTTCCCTCTTATTACTTCTTTCACTATATCCCCCAAGTTTTCTTTTTCTTTAGGGTTGAGAGTATTACAGATATCCCACCTTTCTTCCCCCATTGACAACCTCCTTTTCACTCTCCCACCACTGCCTTTGCTGCACTGTTGTCTGTGTCCATTGGTTATGCATATATGCATATAAGTTCTTTGGTTTATCTCTCCCCATCCCCACCCCCCAACACCCTCTTTCCCTCTGAGGTTTATCAGTCTGTTCCCTACTTACATGCTTCTGGATCTATTTTGTTCATCAACTTATTTTGTTCATTATATTCCACAACTAAGTGAGATCATGTAATACTTGGTTTATTTTACTTAACATAACACTCTCCAGATCCCTCCATGTTGTCTCAAAGAGTAAGAGATCTTTTTTTCTTACAGCTGCATAGTATTCCGTTGTGTATCTGTACCAGAGTTTTTTTTTATCTACTCATCTATTGATGGACACTTGGGCTGTTTCCAGATCTTAGCTATTGTAGACAGTGCTTCTATAAACATAGGGGTACATATATTCATTCGATTCAGGTTTCTGGCTTCTTAGGGTATATTCCTAGAAGTGGGATCACTGGGTCAAATGGCAGTTCCTTTTTTTTAACTTTTTGAGGGAACTCCACACTGTTTTACACAGTGTCTGACCCAGTCTACATTCCCACCAGCAGTGTAATAGAGTACCCTTTTCTCCACATCCTCGTCAGCACTTGTTTGATGGTTTTGTTGGTGGTAGCCATTCTAGCAGGTATGAGGCAATACTTCATAGTCACTTTAGTTTGTATCTCTCTACTAATTAGAGACATTGAGCATTTTTCATATGTCTTTTGGATATTGTATGTCCTCTTTGGAGAAGTGTCCATTCAGGTCCTCTGCCTAAATTGGATTTTTTGTCTTCCTTTTGTTGGGTTGTATGAGTACTTTATATATTCTGGAAATTAACCCCTTTTCCAATGTATCATTGGCAAATATATTCTTTCATACAGTGGGTTCCCTTTTCATTTTGATGAATCCCAGAAGTTTTGATATGTTGTATTGTCATTTTCTTTATCTTTATATATCTTTTTAGCTCACCTTTTATTTCTTCTTTAACCCATTCATATTTAGTAGTTTGTTATTTAATCTCCACATATCTGTGGGGTTTTTTATTTCCTTTTTGCAGTTTATTTCTAATTTCAAAGCATTGTAGTCAGAGAATATGCTTGGTATGATTCCAATCTTCTTGAATTTGTTGAGGTTAGTTTTGTGACCCAACATATAGTTGGTCTATTCTTGACCAACTTTCA